GTGGCGCAGTGGTTGAGAATCTGCCTGCTAATGCAGGGGACACGGGTTCGAGCCCTGGTCTGGGAGGATCCCACATGCCGCGGAGCAAGTAGGCCCGTGAGCCACAACTACTGAGCCTGCGCGTCTGGAGCCTGTGCTCCGCAACAAGAGAGGCCGCGATAGTGAGAGGCCCGTGCAACGCGATGAAGAGTGGCCCCCGCTTGCCACAACTAGAGGAAGCCCTCGCACAGGAACGAAAACCCAACACAGCAAAAAAAAAAAATAAATAAATAAATAAATTACTAGAAGCTTAGGTGGACTCAACTTCAGGATTCTGTTGCGTTGCAAATAAGAGCTTTTCCAAGCTTCTGAGACTCACTGTCTTTGAAAGTGGAATTGTCCAAGGGACAGTGAAAACATGAATTGTAGCAGTCAATAGATGCTCAGAACCGAGATTACCAGCCTAAAGCACACAGTCAGCTATGATGTGATAAGACTTCCAAGAGTATTCTGTATTTTTTGTAGCAATATCATCATCTGTATTTTATATATTATGACAGTGAGGCTCAGTGGTATTAAATGACTTGCCCATGGTCATATAACTGATCAGTGTTAGAGGTGGTACCTGGATTAAGGACATCAGATTAATAGTCTCCTAGTTGTATTTTCATCTCATGCTATAGAGTCCTGAGCCACTGAGCTGGGTTTCCTTTCAAATGATCATAGTTCTCAACTTGGTAATTCCCTAACAAGTCATGTTTTTTTTTAGATTTGAAATGATTAACAAGTAATTTCTGACAGAACGATACATATGTAAGTATACTGGTTTTTTTAAGCAGCACTTCTGGGTGCATTCAAAAAATTACATTCTCATCACCATCAATACCATTATGATTCCTGTCATTAACACTGAATGGATGGATATACCATGGTAGACAAAACCAGATGCTGCCCCTGTCCATTACAAAGCTCATTATCTAAGCAATTAATCATACACATGTATATGTGCAATGGTGACAAGCTCTTTGAATCAAAGTTGCTGAGTAGTAAGGGAGCCTGTAATAGAGAGAGGTGTGCAGGTCAGGAAAGTCCTTCTTGAGAAAATAACACTTGAGAAGAGATTTGAAAAATAAGCTGATGTTAACAAGACAAGATGGGAGGCATGAGCACTCTCTGGGATTAAGCAAGATGGCAAGCACGAGGGACTAAAAACAGGCCGGTATGGATAGAGGAGAAGGAATGAGATGAGTAGTGAATGAGATGAAAGACAATGTAGGCATAGGCCAGACCACGTGGAACTTTTAGATCACGTTAAGTAGTTTTCTTGTTCTACCTAAATATCAGCGGAAAGTCATGACGTTACACAGAGGGTATGACGTGATCAGATTTTGATTTCTGAACAGTCGTTGTGGATGCAGTGTAATCATGAGGTGGAGGGGGATCTGCTGTTGGCACGGGTGGAGGAGTTGGCTAACTGCTGCTGCAGTACGAGCAAGAGATCAGGGTAGCTCAACTAGGGTCACGGAGGCTGAGAGGGAGAGAAGTGGACAGACTTGGCAAATATGTGAGAGAAAATCAATCAATAGAGCTTCGTAGAGAACTGAATATGGTAGGCGATGGAGAGGCAGTCTTAGTGTTGATGTCTTGGCTTTTGGTTGGTGATAATGAAACAGGCACAGCAGAAAAGAAACAGGATTTGAAGGAAGTATTAAAAAAGTTTGGTTTTGACCTGTGGACTTTGTGGAGCCTTCGAGACATTCAACAGGAATTGTTTAGGATGTGCAGGTCTGGACAGAAATATATATTTGTGTGTCATCTGCATAAAAGGAAAATGCAAGTTACAGATGTGTATAATATTGTCTAAGAGAGTGTAGTATGAGAAGATAAGAGGACCTCGAATACAGACTTTAGAAAATCCAACTTTTCCAAGCCAGGTAGAGGAGGATATGGCTGCCAAGGAGACAAAATAGGAGGCAAGCCAGGGGTGTACTGTGTCACAGGGTCCAGGGAAGAAAGCCCTTCAAGAGAGCAGAATGGTGGCTCTTAGGGACAGAAGAGAGGGGGAAATGAGGAGCTGCTAATCAGTGGGTATAGTTTCAGTGATGCAAGATGAGTAAGTTCTAGGGATGCACTGTACAATATTGAGCCTATAGTTAACAACATTGTATTTTACACTTAAAAATCTGTTGAGAGAGTAGATTTCAAGTTAAGTGTTCTTTCCACAATAAAATAAAAATAAATTTAAATAAAAGAAGGGAAAAGAGCTCGATGATGTTAAGTGCCATGTAAATGTCAAGTAAGATGACAACAGCAAAGATATCTTTCGGCCTTAGTTCCAAGGAATTCATTGGCAGACTTAGTGAGGTCTGTTTCTGTAGATTGACGGAGCTGGAATCCAAACTGAGGAGAGCTGAGAAGTAAAATGAGGAGGTTACACTAGATCCTCTCTAAAGTTCCTTCCAACTCTAAAATAATACGTGCTTTGATCTCATGCTGCTAGCCAGAGTCTCCCTTTGTCACAGGTTTCCCTACTCACCCTACTCTTGTTTAATAACAAAACTCTGCTATTGAAAGAAATGACTTGCAAAGACTGTATTACTTTAAGCATCATTACAACCTCAAAAAATTTTAGGACAAATCATTTTCATGTACTTTTACATATATATTTTCTCTTTTGGAAAGAATCTTGAGCAGAAGAAAATCTCGTATGAGTTTTCCATAGCACCAGTTGAAGAAATATATTTCCAAGAATTGATTTTATTTTTTGGGTCAGGACTGCAGGGATAAAATCAGGTCTAGAGTTTCCATGTGGATGAATTCGGAAATGAACAGATTCAAAGCTGCAGTCCAGGGATGTCTCACCCTACACCGTACTGTTTTCCTTTTAAATTGAATCACTTTTTCGGTGCTTTGGGAGTTAAGAGAACACTTCCAAAGAATTGATTTTGTATGTAAGCAGAATGCTTGGGCACTGCTGCTTTTCATCTAAAGAAAGGTCCTATATTCTCACTGTCTTGGTGGGATAAATTTCTGATAAAAGGGCATACAGACCATTGCTACTTGACGTGTGATCGGTGGGCCAGCAGAAACAACCTGAGCTAGGAACTTGTTAGAAATGCAGACTCTCAGACACCACCTCAGACCTACCAGATCAGAATCTGCATTTCAACAAGCTCTTCAGGTGATTTATGTTAAGATTAAAAGGTGAAAACAACATGCATTTTTTCTCAGAATCTACTTTTTAAAAACATAGAATTCTCTGTTACTCTGCCATAATAGTTAAACTTATCCATGGGCATATTAGTCATTTATGGACTGAAAATTGATCATTTTATTTTGTTTTAAAATTAAGATCTGCAGTGGAGTGCCAAGGTGACGAACAAGGTACATTTTACAGACAAAAAGTAGGTTACACACCCAGCTCACGGCAGAACATGCATTTTTCATTCCCCCTTGCCAGAGCTGATAATTACTTACACTGAACTATCCACCCTTCCTCTTTTTTAGTAATAACAACATTTGTAAGTTTAATTTGAAAGAGCAAGGTTACCTGTCATGCTTTTGTACAGGATTTATAAACTTTCACTATTTTCTGTCTCTTTAGCCAATTTAGGAGAACATTTACACTTTATTACATGACTCCTCCCTAGTGATTAACATCTGGAATGGGCAGATGAAACTCCACCCGCAGTCTCACCCTTCCTTGCTCCAGCTCTTACTCCGAGCCCTACTCTCTAACCTTTAACCAGGGCAAGAAAAGATTGCTACTGCCCCCTGCCGGCCCATTGTATTTTTCCTCCTCTACAAATCCGTGACTTGAAGAGGATGCCCAAGGATTTTGAGCCGCTGAAGAAAGCTCAGAGAAGGGGCTTTCCCTAGTAAAGAAGTAGAGAGATCCTTTGGGAACCGGCAGCTAAAGTCAAACGAAAACACTCAAGGGGCGAGGAAGGTATAAAGGGCTTCTAAATTAAATTATCGATCCTCATAAGCCATTTTCTGCATATGGGCTTCTCTATGCCAATGAAATGTCCCCTCCGCTTCAGCACAGGATTCCTCTTTTGCCTCTAGCTTTCACTGATAACGAGTAGACTACCCACTCCCCTATGATAATTTCAGTACTCTAGATCCTGTTCTCTGCTTCGCCCAATTTTCTTTTCCCACGCCTAGACCTTATTTCCCTTCTCTTTTCTGCTTCAAACTCCCGTCCCGCCCACCCACTGACAGACTCGCATTTCCAGGAGCTCAGACCCTAGCCTTCTTCACCCTCTCCATCTACCCTGACCTCTGCTCTTCCCTGGTCATCACCGCGCCCCTTCAGCACCCCTTCGCGCGGAACGGCCAGTCACTCTGCCTTGGAATAGCAGGAACGTCCCCTCTGGAATGCCTCTCCCCGACCCCCGCCCCAAGCGACTGAAAAAGGAAACATGCGCACTTCAGAGCTAGGAGCTGTCCGAGTGCTGAAATTTATAGGCTCGGTAAGATCACGTCTCCGTCTTTCTGTAGCCCTCATTCCAGCACAGGATTTCAGCAATTTTGCCCTCTTCTTCCTACCCACTCCAGCACGCAGAGTCCTTTCTTCTCCCTCGTTTACAACTTCTTTTAAAAAGAGAACATTTTCTAGAGAAAAGGGATTTGCTAAATAGAAAGGACATAAAACAAAAGCTACAGCAACTCGACTTCCAGCATGGCATTGTCACCAGTCCCCTTTGCATGGTGATGCGATTAAGGTAGCAGCATTTTTATTATTCAGGAAAAGCAGCTGGGGGATCCATCAGTTCTAAGGCTTTGTCTTTCCTAGGTTAACTGATGGTCCTAAGCCCCCGTTTGACCTGACCATGAGGCCCAGTACTGGCACTTTTTGTTTTTTCTCAGCAAACTGTACAAACCCAAATCTCTTCTTGATTTTCAAGGAAACTAGATTCCTGCCAGATTTTGAGTCTGGACAATAAATAGATACTTTGTCCTAGCTTCTTTCTGGAATCATTTCGGGAATATTTTCCACAAGCATCACAGATACAGGAATGAACCGGCAGCTAGTGAACATTTTGACAGCCTTGTTTGCATTTTTCTTAGAGACAAACCACTTCAGGTAGGTGAAACGACTTTGCATGCTGGTATTTTCCACATGAAAACTGTTTGAAAGAGAACGTGTCATGCAATTTTTATCTATTTCTCTATGTCCCGGACCACATTATGTCAATTTTATAAAGGAGAGTTAAGAGTTCTTTTGTTCTTTTAAAAAGCTTAATTATGGTGGGAAGGTGGTAAATTTTTACAGAGGCAAGTTTTATGATGCATAACCTCACTCTGTGCATTTCAACGTATTTTCACAGCCAATGTGATATTAAGATACTCTGATGAGTTGCATGCTCTTTACATTTCTATATAATGGTGATTTTTTTTTTCTTCTTTGCTTTCAAATTCTTCTGTAAGTCATTTAAAGGGGTTATTGAATGCAGTGCTTTTCATATGGTGGAAGTGATTGAATTAATTTGCCAGGAGCATGCTCATTTTATGTGAAATATAAAAGAACCCAAATTCTTAGCTAACTTGGGACTTCTATTGTATTTCAGCAACTAGATGCATACTATGAGAACTACAGTTCAGGAAATTTCTTGAAATACCAAAAACATTTAAAATCTCATTTTACCACTGTAGTCTACTGTTCAATATATTTAGAAATGTATTGCCTATCAAAACTGAATTAATATGACATCTTTGTGTTCATGCATGCATGAGAAATGGATTATGCATAATTTTAAAAAGTGAGAAATCATTATTTGCATGCTTGCATTTTCTACTTAATTTACAAATCGCCTAATCAATTGATACCTCAAAATACCAGATTATTACCAGTAAGTGAAATAGCCATCCTAATGGCTAAGAGGTTCTAAGACAAGATAGAGTTAAGAGATGTTCATACAACAAAGTGTAGGACTCTTCATTTAATTTTCACCAAATTTTATGGTATTTTTTCACAGAACCAAGAGAAATGGAACATATAGCAATAATGCTATGAGTACTGGGAAAACCCACTATGTTCCTTTCAGGTTCACACCTCCTACTATGATTAAGAAAAACTGTGGGCTGGGTTTTATTAGAATCATCATCATCATCACCTTCATCACCACCACCATCACCATTATAATCAAATAATACTTGATTAATCAGATGAATCTGCATATGGGAATGTGAGTATTTCTAGGTGATTGTACCAATTTTTAACTCTTACCAAATGTTTATATCATCTTTGTACTTATATTTAATACTACTTCTTTGAAAAACCGGCAAGAATGTGGTATTTTCCTAGTGATGAGAATTAACAATATTATTTGTTAAAATACTGAAAAGAAAGCTTGTAAAATATATACTTTATGGAAGAAATCAACATTCAGTCAACCACTATGTATTGTCAAAGAATTCATTTCACTATAAACCATATATGCTCTTTTTATAAGCCTTTTAAGGAAAATGGAAGTCTGAGAAATTTTCCAATTACCATTTAGTGTTTTTGATAATGCAAAAGACAAAATGCTTTAGAAGTTCTTTTTCATGAATACTAGAGAGTCAACAATTTAAATGCTAATATATAAATAACAGCTGATAAAATAACAGAAGTACAGACATGCTCATTGTTGACCTATTTTAAAATGAAGTTAAATTTCCAAGTGAAGATTTTCTTTTAGAAAACACATTGGAAATTATTAATAGCTGAAAGCTGGAATAGAATCTAGCAGGTGACAAAATAAGCAATGGGATACTTAGTTCATGATTTACCTTGTTCTGCCCATCTTATTATATATTTTTTATAAAAAGTAGAGGGCATATTAAGGGCCGAAATGCTGGAAGAATGTTTTGGAAGTCATGGGGAAATAATTTAAGACAATCACATAAATTTTAGAAATTATCTCCATTTCTCTGATGACACTGGAAAGAAACAGCTTTATATATCTGTAAAACCTACAACCTAAAGCTATGCATGTTGTATCATCTTAAACATCTTATGGCAAAGTTTGGTAACTTAGGAGATATGACTCAGGATTTATACCTTTCATCACTTAAAGTTAACTCTAGACCATGTACAAGTTAGGGAGTTAACCAAAGAGTTTATCATTTTCCTTTTCTTCTTCTTAACATATCAAATATATTTACAAAACATGATGTCAAACATTCTGTGAGCATTAGTTCTCAGGTGATAAGAACGTAATTGTTGCTAAAAGAGTTAATGATGTGTTTAGGGCAGCTTTCTGCAAAGACCATGACTCCAGGTCTGGAAAACAACCTTCGCAGACCCTATCTCCTTCAGATTTCTTGGACAAATTAATGGGAAGGACATCAGGATATGACGCAAGAATCAGGCCAAATTTTAAAGGTAGGTTTCACTGAAACTTACCTTAATTAAGCCTGTGGGAAATCTAGATGCTTGAACACTCTGAAAAAAATTTTCAGGGCTTTTTATTATAAAATGAAAACAACAAGCATAGTATTCATTTCATTTTGGCATTCTTTGGAACTAGTTGATTTAATAGCTTAAATTTTACATGTTGCTTGCCACTTTCAAAAACTTTCCTCATTTGTGTTATGTTCCACAAAGAAAACTAACATCAGAGATTACTGCCACATTTCCTATGTTATCTAAAGTGGGAGTGGGACTGGAAATGAATACAAGAACAAATGATGGACTCGATTTGTATGAATCGTTACACCAAAATCTTTGGTTTGGGTTTTAAATACGTACCCCCAAAATGAAGTTTACATCTCAATATATAACATGCCCTTTTATACACTTTCAGGCCTCTCTCATTTTTAAACCTTGTGAGAAAAGGCTCTAACTGAATATATTACCAAGTTTTGGTTTCCTCTTGTTTAAACATTCTAATTCTTTATTTGAAATTATTTATCTGAAGTTAACAAAGAAGATCATAGAATTGTAAAGTGCGTATGTCAAAGATGGTGGATACTTTCTTTGTTCAATTAGAAACAAACCAAAAAGTTTGGTGTTTTTGTATGTTTAACATTACAAAAATGTAATTAATAGAAATTACTTTTTAGAAATCACCTTTTATCTATTTGATTTATTTTTACTCTGAATCAGAAAAATACTGAAATAAGAAAGAACTTATTAGTTGAATTGTTTTTGATGTTTTAATTTTTAGATACATATTTTAAATAAATGCATTTTATCTTGTAATTTAACTTAAAATAATGCATTGTGAAGTACTTATATTTTATAAAAGGATGAATCTATAATATTCTAGGTATTATGTCATAATTCATGCATCGCTTTGGTTTTTGCTTATTAGCTATTTAATTGGATTGCTTTCCTTGAGGTTTGATTAATTTTTATTATTGGCAAATATGAGCATGAAAACTAAATTCAAAATTCTTTTCTTCTTTAAACGCTGCACCTCTGAATATACCCAGCTAAGGGCACATTTCATAAAGAAACATGTCAGAATTTTGACCAAACAGATGTTTTTGACTTATAGAGTATTTCCAAAAGAGACAACAGAACTTAGTTCAAAAGCTTGATCTTGCTGAAAACAATTTTCATGTTTGCCCAATTTCATATTAATTTTGTGGTCACTGGAAGTCAATATTTGAAATAAAATCCTATGAGTAAGTATTCGAGAGTCAGCTTTTTCAATGGGCCTGCTCACTTGTACATTTATTCACTGAGCCATTCAATAACTTTTGAGTCTGAACTACATAAAGGATACTAACTACTGCATGCTTTGAAAACTTGAGAGTTGAAACAGGTTTGGATGCTACCATCAAAAATTTCATGGGAGAGAGTAGATGTTACATGAATACTTATACAATAATATATAATACTAGATAGAAATAGTTAAGTAGTTAATGGTTAAGTAACATTAGGAAGTACAGATAAAATACTACAGGATTCCAACAAAAGCAGAGACGCTTTCCTATTAAGCTATTCACGGAAAGCTTCATAAAGAAGGACCAGAGATGGAAAATTGTTTCAAGTTTATGAGCATCTTGTTTAATAGCAGCTATTATTCATTATTTTCTAGAAATAATTTTTTTAAAGGGAAGAAAAGTGCAAAGAGTAATAAAACAAACACCCATGTTGCCAATGCTACTTTAAGTGACCACATAGAATGAGCAATAATTTCCACACACAGCTTTTTTTTCTGGTTCTTCTGGGGATGTCACCCTTTGGAAATAACATTTCTCATGATTCTAAAGAATAAATAAATGAGGAGAATATCAAGCATAGCAAAGCATGGCCATGTTTTTGAGATCTGTCCTAAAGACCTGAGTACAGGATGATTTAAAGACTTATAAAAGGGAAATGGGTGAATATAATTTAAGACTCTAACATTAATGAACTGTACTGACTTTTGTCTCCCTCTTCCCTTAACTCTCCGATTCAATGAACCCTGATATTCTTTCATAACTTTTACTTACATGGACCATTTATATCAGATCAATTACCTAACAGCTCTCACAATTCTCTTTACTGTGAGGATCTTGGTTTTTCCTAGATGTAAAACATTCCCCATTATTTTAGACTAAAATGATTTTTCCTCCTTGGTGTTCCCATGAAACTTTATATGTCTAATATAGTTCTTTTGCATATTTATGTTTTATCAACTCACCCCCACATCGCATCTGAGAGGGCAGGGAGGTACCTTATTTATATATATATAATATTATATATATATAGTTTATATATATAATATTGTATATAGTTTCAGGTGTACAGCATACTGACTCAGGGTTTTGTGTTTTTTTTTGCAGATTATATTCCATTAGAGGTTATTACGACATATTGGGAAGGGGTGGGAACTTTTGAGGGATGAACCAGTGGTCATAGTGGCTAGCAAAGATGATTTTAGCTGAGAAAGAAATAAAAGAAAGAGATAATAGGGAACTGGTAACAGCAAAGAGGCTAGGAAGACTATAGTACTTACTGCAGTTGATTAGCAATGTATCGATGAGAAATTCTATGGAGTAGGTGGAAATGGAAGGTGATTAGGAAATGTGATTGTATCTGGAATAGTGATAGGCTCCCTGTAAATGCCAAAAACCAAACTGACTATGATAACAATAAACATGGTGATGATGATGACAATGATATTGAAAATAACAATAATGGTGATTAATAAGAAGACAAAAGGGCAAAATTTGACCACAAGTATATAAGCAAGAGCCCAATATGGGCTGTTGAGAGAAAGACTATGGCTTTTCTAGAAGTCTTATTAAATATTAGCACATTTCTCTGTTTTCCTTGCTGCCATGCATTGGCAAGGGAAAAGAAATGTATATGCACAATTTTTCTTACTGGAAGGAATTTTTCCTGCATCCTTTCAAGTCAGTAAAATATTTCATGTCTATTCCATATCCCTGATGGGCTCTGAAAAATGTCATAATGGGCACATACACAAGAAGGAAGATGGATATAAGCTAGAAAAGGGAACCAGAAATGATTCAGACTTAGACTCTGTAATTGAGAGTCATTCTTAGAAACTATAGGGAAAAAATAGCTTTTCTGATGTGCTGAAGCACAAGTGTATAAACAAAGTCGTGAGTCAGAGTTGCCAATTGCATTCCATCTATGAGAGCCATAGAGACTTGGGTCAGACCTCGTCAAAACATAAATTTTCAAAATCCTCAGTTCAGATAAAAACACAACCTATGTCCATTCACAATTACCTGTTTCTGAAACCATGGTAAATGTTGATTCTATGTCAACAGAGAAGCCTCCTTCCCCACTTGGGTGATTTGTCTCGTTGTCAGTTGGTTCATCATGGTGTTATTCCATCATCCTATCAGATATTCCTTTGTCAGTATTATGGTATCTTGAAAATGCCACTTTAAACATTAAGCTTTTAAAGAAGCCAAATGAAATGCTCAAACCTGGGCAAAATGCATTAGTTCTGATTCTCTCTCTTTGAAACAAAGCTTTTATCTATTTTAATGAAATTTTCTTTGAAAAGAAAATTAACTTAGAGTTATATCCTAAGTTTCATCCCAATGGGAATAAATACATTTCACCAGAACATTCATTTTGGGATAGGATCTGGAATAGATAATGCCAGGAGATAATTATTCCCTCCACTTCTTTGTGCAGGTCATGCACACTAATCTTTTTTCCATATCCGGAGACCTAAATTTTAAAGTGTGATGTGCGATGTTAAAACCTACATTTGCATGCGGTATGGTTTCCTTTATTTTCCAAGGAGTTATCAGCTCAAAAGGTGTTTCAGATATAAGTAAGAAACAGATCCACTTCCAAAAAACTAGAGGTCTTCATTTTCTCCCCTTGGAAAGTTTCTTGTCTGTAGCCAAGTGGAGCTCAAGCTCATGTGTTGTGCTTACCAATCCCTGGAGGGGTGACTTGAGCACAAATGTCCAGCAGAGACACTTGGAAAGAGGGATTCTCTCAGTTGGTGATAATGTAGCCCTAGTGTGATCATTTCATTGATCACTCTGGCAGATGCGGGCATCAGATATTACCATGGATTCTGAGAAAAAGAACAGAATGCTTACAAGTCTCAGAAGTTTTTTTTTTTTTTTTTTTTGCAGAAGTATTTGACTTGAGTGCAGAAAGTAGTGGAAGCCTTCAGGCACCTGAAAGGGTACAGTCATTTTATATAGAATAAGACAATAGGAGATAAAAGGGGGGAAGTGATGATTGAAAGAAAAAGCTGGGTGTATCAAAGAGAAATTTATATATGACAGTTTTGTTCAGGGATGACGTTGATGAAGATTTTTGAATATCCAAAATCCACTGGCTGTGTCACAATTTATTTTAGCTTTTGTGTACTGTATGTATACCAAGCAACACATCTGTATACACCAGGCTGCTACGATGGGCCTGCAAGTTGCTTGTCAGGGATTTGAGGTAACATCAGGAAGGAGGCACCTACAGCATTCTAACACACTCTGGTAAAGTCTATTCCAAAGGATAAGTTCATTTATTGGAGTACGTCTTCCATTCCATGGTGACAGAGTAGTAGAGTGGGAGGGGCCTTGGACTTGGATCCAGAAAACCCAGGTTCATGTCCTGGTTCAGCCACTTTGGAGAAAAGATGTCTCCACCTCTGCATGACTCAGGTTTTCTTCTGACTTTGCCCACCTCATTTGGGTTGTTCTGAGCATCAAATGAGATCATACATCTGAATGATCTGTTTCCAACTACTAAAATTATTACAAATAATTTGAATTATTATTACTAGTCTTCTATTTCTCTTTGATAACTGACACTGACTATGTATTCTCTTAGCCTTCATGGTGATTGGGTCCTTAAAGTTGTTTGAATTTTTTTTTAATGGAAAAAAACGAGTCAAAGAAGTTCTAGCATTTTAGAGTCCTACCACAGTAACCAGGATGTAGATGTCACAT